TGTTTCTCTGTCCTGTTAATGTTGATGGAGTGCGCGCGTCTGAGCACGCATAATGTAGGCCACCTGGCCTGCTGCGCCAAATGTAGGAAAGTGCACATTTGCAGATGTCTGATTTCTGACCACCACTAATAATAAGCTGAGCTTCTAAGTCATTTTTGTAACCATTCGACAATGATTTTGAGAAACGTTATTATTGAAATGAAACTGCAAATATGAAAATCATAACTGGCACGCTAATCGGTAGAAATGGTATGATACATTCTTAGCTTCCCCAAAAGTGAAACTCATGTGCTGCCTATGTCAGCTACCGAAGTTTATCAGGCGTTGCTTTATCTTGGAAAATGCAGTTCGTATATTTCTTCTTCGCCATGATCAGATCGGAAATTGACCAATAGACCGAAAAACTTGAAATCGATCATTATTATGACAATTTAGCCCACTGAGTGACACTCCCGGACAGTCATGAGTAGCCTCATTTCATTCCATAGGCTACTGTCCATTTTACTTTGACCTGTCCTGTTTTTAGGATATGGTGTGTTTGTTAACATGTTAATTCATATTCACATCGATGCGCTTTTTTTTTTTAAGGGCGCCATTTGGGATATTTGATCGGAAACACACATGATGTAAAAAGTGTCTGTCTTAAGACTTTGTCATAAATGTGGTCACCATGTAGGCTACAGAAAAGGCAACAGAGGCTATATACTCTTTCTTCCGTATAGACTACATGATTTGACGGTGCGTTGGTGGCGAGCCGCAGCACTGCTCCTCTCCAACAACACCATGGAGAGGCGCGCTGTGCATTGACAAGATACATATTTTGGGCGCCTGCCTTTGGCAAAGTGGGCACTGTTTATCATGGTGCGGCATCAGCGTTCACCTTAATACCACATATGCCACTGGGTGAGATACGTTTTTATTGTTTTGGGCAGAATTATGTTAGGTGTTATTTGTTGGAGATGTGTCTTGTTCAATTTAGCTTGGAAAATGCCACCCTCGTCAATATGTCGCTCTAGGCGGCTGCCTAATCCTGCCGGGCCGGCCCTGTGTGTATGAATAGCTAAAGGGTATGTGCTGATATGGGAGCTTCACATAAATGTTTTTATCTTCACATTTGTGGGTTGGGCTGACTATTGTTCATCCTCGTGTCCTTATTTCATCAGTCATTTACAGACTAGTTTTAAAAGCTTGATGATAATCATCCTTGTCTGGCTAAGTGATAATAACCATAGTGTTAGAACAACCATTTGTGACACACTCTTTGTTTCAGTTAGCATGCAGCCATCTGAGCATGCAGCCAGTTTACAACAAAGGACAAAGGATGTCTTACAAAGGATGTCTTAAAAAGGATGTCTTACAAAGGATGTCTTACAAAGGATGTCTTAAAAAGGATGTCTTACAAAGGATGTCTTACAAAGGATGTCTTACAAAGGATGTCTTACAAAGGATGTCTTACAAAGGATCTCTTAAAAATGATATCTTACAAAGGATGTCTAACAAAGGATCTCTTAAGACAGGGCTTGTTGTGATCTGAGATCACATACACTACATATCCAAAAGTAAGTGGACACCCTTCAAATTAGTGGACTCTGCTATTTCAGCCACACCCGTTGCTGACAGGTGTATCAAATCGAGCACACAGCCATGCAATCTCCATAGACAAACGTTGGCAGTAGAATGGCCTTACTGAAGAGCTCAGTGACTTTCAACGTGGCACCGTCATAGGATACCACCTTTCCATCAAGTTAGTTAGTTAAATTTCTGTCCTGCTAGAGCTGCCCCGGTCAACTGTAAATGCTGTTATTGTGAAGTGGAAACGTCTAGGAGCAACAATGGCTCAGCCGAGAAATGGTAGGCTACACAAGCTCACAGAACAGGACCGCCGAGTGCTGAAGAGCGTAGTACGTAAAAATCATCTAACCTCGGTTGCAACACTCACTACCGAGTTCCAAACTGCCTCTGGAAACAACGTCAGCACAAGAACTGTTCGTCAGGAGCTTCATGAAATGGGTTTCCATGACCGAGTAGCCACACACAAGCCTAAGATTACCATGCGCAACGCCAAGGGTTGGCTGGAGTGGTGTAAAGCTTGCCGCCATTGGACTCTGGAGGAGTGGAAAAGCATTCTCTGGAGTGATGAATCACGCTTCACCATCTGGCAGTCCAACGAAGGAATATGGGTTTGGCGGATGCCAGGAGAACGGTACCTGCCCCAATATATAGTGCCAACAGTAAAGTTTGGTGGAGGAGGAATAATGGTCTGGAGCTGTTTTTCGTGGTTCGGGCTAGGCCCCTTAGTTCCAGTGAAGGGAAATCTTAATGCTACAGCATACAATGACATTCTAGACGATTCTGTGCTTCCAACTTTGTGGCAACAGTTTGGGGAAGGCTCTTTCCTGTTTCAGCATGACATTGTTTCAACCCCATTAAAGGTGTTCAATGGGGTTGAGGTCAGGGCTCGGTGCAGGCCAGTCAAGTTCTTCCACACCGATCTCGACAAACCATTTCTGTATGGAGCTCGCTTTGTGCACAGGGGTGCACAAAGCGAGGTCCATACAGAAATGGTTTGTCGAGATCGGTGTGGAAGAACTTGACTGGCCTGCACCGAGCCCTGACCTCAACCCCATTGAACACCTTTTTGGATCAATTGGAACACCGACTGCGAGCCAGGCCTAATCGCCCAACATCAGTGCCCGACCTCACTAATGCTCTTGTGGCTGAATGGAAGCAAGTCCCCGCAGGAAAGTTCCAACATCTAGTGGAAAGCATTCCCAGAAGAGTGGAGGCTGTTATAGCAACAAAGGGGGGGACCAACTCCATATTAATGCCCATGATTTTGGAATGAGATGTTCGACAAGCAGGTGACCACATACTTTGTATTTTTATCAGTAATGACCAAAAACATGTGACAACCTTGAGCAGAGCATGTAAGCTCATTCGGCTGTTTGTTGTTGTTGTTGTTGTTGTTACATGGACACAAAGCATTGCATTCCCTCTTCAGCATGGTATCACTGATTGAAGCTCTTGACACCCTAAAAACATGCTCTGTATAGTTAAGTATCTCCTGTCAAGCTAGGCCTGTCTTTCTTCCCGGTACAGCCAGTATGAGGATCTTGCCATTGCTTTTTCTTTTTGGGGGCGAGGGGTCTAGGCTGACTCAATGCTACAAAAAAATGCGCCATTTGGGTGTGCCAAATGCATTTATGTAGCCTTCAAATTGCCAGCAAAAGTTATTGTCACGCCCCAGGTTTGTTCATTGATATTGATACTTGGTTGCATAAATGTTACCCCAAAATGAAAATCCCGCCGAAGGGCTTTCATAACTTCAGCAGATAGCACGCTGAGTCGCCCGTCACCAATCGATGGTTGTCCCCCAAAGCCATTTGGCAACTCCTGTGTCTTCATAACCATTCGTTTATTTAAACTATCAAAAGATAAAACCCAGATAACTAAATTAGCCGACATTCAAACCACAATGAAATCATTTTAACGAATAAGTGTAGCGCTTTCAGTCAATTTGCGGAATAATATGCCAATGACTACTTTTCACTTATTTACTCCGTGGTGAGGTGAGGTGAGAGAAAGGTGACGTGAAGCCAATGATCAACGGCTTTGTCAGGGCCAAGACGTTTAAAATATTTTTTATAGAATATGACATGATTATGATTTCGTTCCTCTCAATGATCTTTTATCAACACCGCTGGCCATCAATAAAATGTAAAACATTGTGAAGAGGTAGGCCATATTGATGTTATGTGTTCACACACATTAAACCTGTGAACATGTTTTTGCTATAGATAACAGCACCAACGAATGTTTCGCGTCACACCCCATTCCACTCAATGTTGTCAGACATGATTAGGTTAAGCTCTGCAACCATCTACTCAATATCAGTGCTGCTAAATGATTGGCGGCTGGCATGCTCCACGTGTACATTTGCTCATCCAATATTCTCTGTCCAAAAGGTGGTCTTTAGGCTTGTTGCGCGAAACATTAGCATAGCCTATGCATAACACGCATCTTGGAAGTGCGTAATGGTGCACGTAAAGCTACACATTTCATCTTCTCCAAGCGCTCCAGCGGAGCGGAGAGAAAAAATTACGCGCAACTAATCTAAATATATTGAACTGGTATCAATGCAGCACACAAGCTATTTCAGACACACCCTTTGCAAATGTATCTAACGTTTGAATAGGCTATGTCTGTGTCGCGCGCAAAATATGATTTAACATTATGCCAATATATGAAAGGCGACAAAATAATGAGGCTTTATTTTGTCAATTTAAGTATTCCCATACTATACATTTGTTTTGCTTTCTTTGTATGTTGGTTCAGAACCAAAATGAATTAGAGTTTTTTCAGTAGACTCGTTTTTAATAGGCCTACTGCAAATACCTACAGCCTAATTAATGACAATATCATATAGTTCTACGATGCCTAGTTAATCATTGGTAATTATGATTGATAATGTATTATTTTAGTTACAATAATACAACTATGTAGTTCAACTGTTTTGTCAGGTAGGACTACTTTTCCATGCAATTAAAAACTTTTAAACACAGTAAACATATTTTCGTGTGAATTATCTGACTGACATGGTTGAACAACTGTTTTTGGTTTAGATTGTACCATTCCATTTCTGTGCGTAATGCAATGGAATCCTGTCTCCCAACCTGTAATAATTCATTTACTATTTATAGTAGGCCTATATAGGTTAAATTCAATGATTCCACAATAAAACATTCAACAAGTGAAATTAAATACATTTATTGTTTTTTAAACAATAATATACAGGTTCCTCCCCTATCTCCGCATTCATGAAAAGCTAGCGCAAGATGGGTAACAGTGTCAGCACTGTAAAAACTGCTAAGCAAACGTATTTAAGTTCATGAGATGGATTCTTCGGATGTACAAATGCACTGTGAGGCCTCTTAAACTGTGCAGGGAAAATCAATTCCACGTCTTCCACCAAGAACGGATCGAGCAGACCTACGGTAGGCCTATTTCTTCTTAGGAGCAGCTTTAGCCCGGGTGGATTTGGCGACTCTGCGCTTGGTCTTCCTGGGGCTCTTGGTCTTTTTTGCTGCTGCGGGTCTTTTGGCCTTCTTGGGACTCTTCCTCTTGGTTTTCTTTGGGGACTTCTTGGCGCCCGCTGCCTTCTTAGGTGACGCTTTCTTGACAATCTTGGCCCCCTACCTTCTTGACTTTATTATTGATAGTTGTTTTTCTTTTTAACGACGGCTTTGTTTTTGTTAATTTTGAAAGAGCCGGACGCCCCAGTGCCCTTGGGCTGCAGAAGATATCCTTTGGCCACCAAACGCCGGACTGCGAGTTTGAGTCGAGCGTTGTTCTTCACAACATCATAGCCGCTGGCTGCCAGAGACTTTTTGAGAGCCGCAAGAGACACACCACTACGGTCCTTCGATGCTGACACAACCTTCAGGATGCGGTCAGATACGGTGGGTCCAGTCTTCTTGGGCTTGGATCTCTTTTTAGGAGTCGTGGCGGGAGTCGCCAGGGGAATTGCAATCACCCCAGACATGTTCCCTGTTATGGAGATGTATTGGCTGAAGATGCTTGAGAGATGAAGGCCTTGGAATGAGTGGAGTGATGGGTGACATGCCCATTTATGAAGATTTGATGAGAACCGTGTAGATTCAATCATTGCCACTAGGCGCCTTTTCCCCTGTCAAAACCTGACTTGTGTTTTCTTCCTCATAAGAAATGTGTATATTTTATTCGTAAATCCACTATATCTATATAATCATCATATCCTAAGAATCAGCACAAACTGTACTTTTGATTTGTACCTTTAGTGCCACCATTATTCAAACGCCGTGCCAGGTAAATTCTTAAATTGTTAATGGGCAGTAATTGAATGCCATTTAAAAATTGACCTTTTCGACATTTTGACTAAATTATACCATGCAAACGTTTGCGTAGGTGCTACAGTAATTCCTTACTCTTAAACAGACATCTTGCTAGTAAATATTCCCAAAAATGTTACTCGGTTGATAATGCACTGAATAGTTAATAACATTTTTATATGACCAAAAAAGCACACCTAATGTCCAAACTGAGATGAGAAGCTTCATCTAAATATAATATTTTTCTAAAATAACAAACACGATATGTCTGTTTGAGTTTTTTACGAGTGAAAATATTTTTTCACTTCATCTTTTCATATTTGTGCAAATCTTTCTAAAACAGAAAATAGACACAATTCAATGGATATCAATCGACAAAGAGGTAAGAATATGTACTGTAGGCTATAAGAATATGCTGAAGGCTAGCTGCATTGGGTGCAGACTTTTGTGTCTGTAGGTATACAGACGGGGAGGCATACAAAGTTATGTCAATTGGTTTTGGTATGTTATGCAGATCACATTTACCATCCTCACCCTTACCTCTACAATGAATATCCCATAGGCCTCTACATTATGGACAAGGTATGTTTATGAAAACCATTATTAAAACAGATTTTTTTTCATTCACATTTACCACAAAAACCGAGGTATGAATAATGTCGTGTGCATATTTTGTTAATCATCTGTATAACTACTATTTTGGGGATTCACAGACTTCACCCTCCCTACACCTCTGATGAATATAACAGGAAACCTGTTCGATCACCATGCACTGCAAAATCATTCTGGACTATGGATACGGAGAACATCAACACATTAACATCAACATGCCAGAGGATATACCCATTGGACTTGGGGCTCTGCTGGGAGTTTACCTCATATTTAGATTTTTTTATTCTGCTTTGCCACTCAAATAATAATAAACACTGACCACTAAAATATTGTAATATTATTGTTATTGTTGAGCGTATTATTAATAATAATATTAATATGGGAGTGGGGGCGTAATTCAAAAATTAACCCCAAAAGGTTCTTCGAGGATCCATTAAAAGGGGTTCTTTGAAGAACCCTTTTAAGGAGTTCTTCGAAGAACTTACAGGGGTTCCCCCACAGTTTCAATTTGAAGAACCACTAAAGGAACCTTTAGGAACCTACTAAAGCAGGTAACGGGACTAGGGACTAATAATGGAGGGCTTATTTGCGCGCAATGGAACCACGCCAAAATAATGAGTTATCAGTATAGCATGGGTGGTGATAGAAAAAACACATTACAGTTTCACATTCAGCTTGTCACATGCAGGCTTTTCGTTTGAAATCGCGGGTTATTTTTTCGCTGTTTTAAACTCAACTAAATACTGGAAATACAACCATCCAAACCCCAAATGCATGTAGTGTTTGCGGTTCAATAATTGTTTATGTTGTTTAATTTTCATTTCACAAGATAGCTTAGGCGTATTATTATTGATGGGAAAGTTTATCATGTAATTTAATAAAAAAAATATGATTTGGTCCTTTGCCCTAGCCTATAGGGTATCGAATTATAACCGAACAGAATTAGAATAAATCAATCATGGTCTTGCTCTTAAGATACACAGAATATCATTTTATCAAGTAGGCCTGATAAATTAGGCCTATTTATGATCTTGAGTGTCACTGTCTCTAACCTAAATTGATTCTGATCGAAACCTTGAGCTATAAGCCGATAGGGTTCATGGAAGGATGCATGTATCTCCCTAATTTTTGGATTCGCAAACTTCACCCCCGTACACCTCTGATGAATATAACTGGAAACCTGCTCGATCACCATGCACTGCAAAATCATTCTGGCTATGGATACGATGAACATCAGCACATTAACATCAACATGCCAGCATCAACATGCCAGAGGATATGTCCATTGGACTTGGGGCTCTGCTGGGAGTTTACCTTATATTTAGCTTTTTATATTCTGCTTTGCCACTAAAATCCTAATAAACACTGACAACTAAAATATTGTGTTATTGGTGTTATTATTAAGCGTATTACTACTACTAATAATAATAATAATAGGGGAGGGGTGAGTAGTTCAAAAATTAACCCCAAAAGGTTCTTCAAAAGGTTCTTCGAGGATCCATTAAAATGGGTTCTTTGAAGAACCCTTTTAAAGAGTTCTTCGAAGGACTTATAGGGGTTCCCCCACAGTTTCAATTTGTGTAGCTCAGTTGATAGAGCATGGCGTTTGCAACGCCAGGGTTGTGGGTTCGATTCCCACGGGGAATGTATGCACTCACTAACTATAAGTCGCTCTGGATAAGAGCGTCTGCTAAATGACTAAAATGTAAATGTAAGAACCCTTAAAGGATCCTCCAGGAACCTTTACTTTTTAGAGTGTAGGTTACTTTTTTCCGTAACAGCGCCTCAAATTGGCTGCTGCTGCCATAGAGATGCACATAGGCCTATGCATAAGACATTCAGCGAGTTGACTGTAGTAAGCGTTCCATCCATACCCATAAAGGAACAAAACAGCCCCAGGAATAGTTCAGATGGTCTCACTCTTGGGGGGAAAAATGGTTTCTTGTGGTTCTATATAGACCTTTTACAAAGCAAGCGATAGAACCGTTTTTTTTTTATATAAGAGTGTACACCCAGCCATATACATGCGTCAAATCGCATTTAATTTGTGTGGGATCGAGGCGCCAAAGGACCACTAAAGAAAATGATTGGACATGTATTATTTAACCGCAGATTGATGGCCTGTTTTGTATTATTAACTGCAGATTGATGGCCTGTTTTGTATTATTTAACTGCAGATTGATGGCCTGTTTTGTATTATTTAACCGCAGATTGATGGCCTGTTTTGTATTATTTAACTGCAGATTGATGGCCTGTTTTGTATTATTAACCGCAGATTGATGGCCTGTTTTGTATTATTAACTGCAGATTGATGGCCTGTTTTGTATTATTAACCGCAGATTGATGGCCTGTTTTAATGGGCCAAGATAGGGAAGGCCAAGTTCACAAATGACTCATAGGAAATATTCGTAGGGTATTAATAATATTTCCAATGTTATTTATTTATTATTTTTCAGTAAAACATGTAGCCTATGTTAAGCTGTTTACCTTAAGTCTTTTTTTAATAATTATGATAATATGACAGAATCTAACTTATGTAGGCATATAGGGCATATGACTAATGAAAAAAAAAGTGAATTATTTCAAAAACGGCACAGATCTCAACACGTGAGTGCTTCCTCACGCTGTTGTGACGCAGGACTGATAGCTCGGACTGGGGACGGATCGACTGGATAAACGGGGGATTGTTCCTCTCTGGTGTAGTAGCCCTATAGCCTACAGGGCTTCATTTTTTAAAAAAAACAATAATTTGGCATGAAGTCTGAAGATCAAAATGAAATGAATGCATCTAACACTGCAAATGAAATATAACTGACTTTTGAAATGACTGGCTGTGTAAACTTTATAAGTGGCAGTGGCCCTATCACCTAAAGTTAAAGGACCTGAATATACATAATCATGAGTCAAACGTGTAGTGCAGCAGATCAGAGCCATTTCTATAAACTGTGTGTTTCTTTGAAGACTTTCTATAAAGACTTAGCCACTTGGATAAGGTTAATAAAACACAGTCCCCAATAAACCCCCATTGAATTACACACATTTCCCCTGGACCCTATGGAGAAATACAATCACAAAGGTGTATTAGGAACCCCCCCCCCCCCCCCCCCCACCACACACACACACACACACACATTAATCGCCGCGGCATGCGCTCCACAAGCATGTGACAGTGGGTCAGCAACCCAGTCATGCAGCACAAAGAAAAGTCGTCAGGAACCCCATTATAATCAGAACAGAGAGCGACACGATCCTATTTCATCACCAGCTGAAAGGCTCCCTACCACAAAATCAACATGGATTGCGGGATTATTACATCCAAAACAGTCCTTTTGCTTCTAAGTTTAATATTTTGGGTAAGTGCTTGGTCTGTGTTTATCTTTTTACGACTTCTTTCCACTGCTCTAACCAGGGATGTATTCATTACGTTTTGCATCGGAAACGGTTTACTGTTTAAGAACGTTCGCAACCCACCACCACCCACACTACACGTGTAGCTTAATCCAGGGACAGACTTGCATAGGGAAGTTCTGGCAAATGCCAGATGGGCTGGTACATATTTAGCCAAGGGTTCTCTCTAAATCTTTTTTTAATGCAGAATGAAGAATTATCATTATTTGGTGGTGCAGAGATCTGAGGGATAAAATGGGCCTGTACTTTAGAAATGCCCAGGCCAATTTCTGGTCCCAGTGTCCCCTGCTTAACATTTTTTTGAGTGAACAATTCTACATGCCAGGTTTTCTCCACTACATGATGAGTCAGAAAGATCATGTTACTAAAAACCTTCTGGTAGATGTTAGGTTGCAGCAGTGCATAGCTTCCTAGGTGGTTAACTCTGAACTAATTCAATAAGGAGTAAGAACCCTGTGTGTATTCACCAGCGGGAGTAAACATAGGTCTGCTTGTGTATCAGCGGTCAAAAGCCACATATACTTTGTAGTTCCCCTTGAACTATCCCTCGCTCAAATATCTCTCTCTCTCTGTCTAGCCGGTGCGGTACCTGGAGCTCTGCATTGTGTGTGTGATTGGTTGAGACTGAAGAGGTGGACTTCTGAGATCAGGCTGTTTTAATGTATCAGAGTTCGTCTGTATCCAAAGAAAAGACAACAGAATTTGTAGAGCGCAAATATATTCGTCCAATAGTCGCCTCTCTCTCTTAGTGCGTCCCCACATGTGTTTTTGTTTTTGTAATGCAATAGTGAATATTATAGACTCTTCTTATATGTCATGAAGTAATTTGACATTGATAACCAAAGTAAAAGACATAGAGCACCAATACTGTATGTTCTGCCAATAGTCGCCTCTCTCTCTAGACACACGATACAAAGGACGAGGATCAGCGAGGAACTAGATATCGTTCACATATACAGTACATTAGCTAGTAAGCAACCACATGTTGAATTCGAAATGTTAGTCATCTTAAAAAGTACAATTACAATTGATCTTGACAATACCATCCCCTTATGAGTTGCCATTAAATGTAGAGCATTATTCATGAACAGCGTGTGTCATGACTTTTCTGCGGACGGAAAAGCGTGCCTAGCTACCTTTATTAGTGCGTCAACATTCTTTGAGCATGAGCACGCAGCTCAAAACGTAAGTATGCACCTATTCACCATGATGCAGGGATGTTAAATCATAACTCAAACATGCTATATGAATATATGAACCTGGTGAAATTCAAAGTATTTTAACAACTGTTACACCTGAATTGAAGTAAAATATGTAGCCCTAAAACCTGACTCTTTTGGGAGATGAGGAGGGAGGTACGGCCCTGCTTTGCACTGTCACATAGTGTTGGATTAGTTTTGTCTGATCGGTGAGTTCACTTTACATGAGAACGCATCTGTGATCTGAGTCTGGAGGGAAACAGCCTACCATAAATATGTTATTTTGTGCTTACATAATGAGGTTTTCACAAATCCACATGCACTAGAAGGCAGCAAAACTGCGAACATATGTCTTTCACTCGGCCAATACAGGAGATCATCTGGTCGAATGTTAGTTAGACATTGACAACAACATAAAAACAAGCGGGAAATGTAAATTTACACTCCATTTCCTTCTCCTTTTTCCTGCTTTAGCAATCACCACAACACATTCATTTTTTACACTCATATCTGAAGCACAAGATCCAAGTTCCAGGAAAGATTAGGGGGTGGTCTGTGTGTGTGTGTGTGTGTGTTCCACTCGGGTGGGGTGTGGGTGGTGGTGGGTCTTGTGACTTGAGGCCTGATTGTGAGAGAACCGGGTAATGTGCTCTGGAGCCTTGAATCTAAAGGACTATTAGGCAAGGAGCAGCTCACCATCTGATCAATGCATTTGATTAGCACACGCGTTTGTATCACTATGGCATAAAAGCATAACCAACTTAAAGGGATGGTTCACCAACATTATTAATGGGTTTTCTTATGCTAATATCGGGGGTAACCACTTGCATTGGTTTTGTTCCATAAATACTAAAACGTTAGCATTTGTAAACAGTGGCCACGTTAACAAAACCAAAGCATTGCTGTCTTACCTTGTCCATAGATTGCTTACAGAAGTTAGATTACTTCTACTTAACTGGGGAATTGATTGTATAAGCTGCAATTCACAGGACAATGCTACACTTGTATGAGTTTGCCTAACATACAGTGCATTTGGAAAGTATTCAGACCCCTCGACCTTTTCCACATTTTGTGACATTACAGCCTTATTCTAAAATGAATTTAATTGTTTTTTTCCCCCTCATCAATCTACACACAATACCCCATAATGAAAAAGCAAAAACAGGTTTTTAGAAATGTTTACACATTTATTACAAATAGAAAACTGAAATGTCACATTTACATAAGTATTCAGACCCTTTGCTATCAGACTCGAAATTGAGCTCAGGTGCATCCTGTTTCCATTGATCATCCTTGAGATGTTTCTACAACTTGATTGGAGTCCACCTGTGGTAAATTCAATTGATTGGACATGATTTAGAAAGGCACACATCTGTCTATATAAGGTCCCACAGTTGGCAGTGCATGTCAGAGCAAAAACCAAGCCATGAGGTCGAAGGAATTGTCTGTAGAGTGCCAAAAAATGTCTGCAGCATTGAAGGTCCCCAAGACCACAGTGGCCTTCATCATTCTTAAGTGAAAGAGGTTTGGAACCACCAAGATCTTCCTAGAGCTGGCCGCCCAGCCAAACTAAGGAATCAGGGGAGAAGGCCTTTGGTCAGGGAGGTGACCAAGAACCCGATGGTCACTCTGACAGAGCTCCAGAGTTCATTTGTAGAGATGGGAGAACCTTCCAGAAGGACAACCATCTCTGCAGCACTCCACCAATCTCGTTCAAACATCTCTGGAGAGACCTGAAAATAGCTGTGCAGCGAAGCTCCCCATCCAACCTGACGGAGCTTGAGAGGATCTGCAGAGAAGAATGGGAGAAACTCCCCAAATACAGGACTGCCAAGCTTGTAGCGTCATACCCAAGTAGACTCAAGGCTTTAATCGCTGCCTAAGGTGCTTCAACAAAGTACTGTGTAAAGAAAGGGTCTGAATACTTATATAAATGTGATATTTCCCCCACATTGTTTTTAGACATTTGCAAAAATTTCGAAGAACCTGTTTTTGCTTTGCCATTATTGAGTATTGTGTGTAGATTGATGAAGGAAAAAAACGATTGAATCCATTTTAGAATAAGGATGTAACGTAACAAAATGTGGAAAAAGTCAAGGGATCTGAATACTTTCCAAATGCAATGTATTCTCTACCCTTCTCCTGTAGTGTGCACTTGCACACATTCTCATGTGGGTTTAACAATGGTGTAAACTCCAGCCAATCCTTACACCAATCCTATGCTTTGAAATCCATGACAGGGAGTGTGCACCAGGAGAATAGGCAACACAGCCTTGATTAGCTGTAGAAAGTCCTCATGTTGTTGTGTTGTTCTCTCTAGGCTGCGGGTGGCGCTCTTGCCTACGTAGGCTCTTATGTGATCAAGAGCTACAACAACTTTGACAACTTCCTGGAGGATAAGTACACACTCATCCCTGCAGCCATCATCATCACTGTGGGAGTGGTGATGTTCATCATCGGGACTGTGGGCTGCTGCGCCACCCTGAGAGAGTCCAAAGTGGGCCTGAGCTTTGTGAGTATGAGCCTCCGACGCAACAGGGGGTTTCCCCTATGTACAGATCTAGGATCAGCATCACGTCCCCAAATCTGAACTTTAACCATTAGTGGGGAAATTTCCAAATTGACCCAAGATCAGCGTCTAGGGGAAATTTCACCCTACACCTGCCTCAGACATTGTAGTGGTGGTTCCTGGTGGGTGATGGTAAAAGGAGAGACTGGTGGTGCCAGCCATCCAGGACTTTCATAAGCACACTTTGTGTCCCAAATGGTACCCTATTCCCATATGTAGTGCACTACTTTTGACCGGGGCTCATAGGTCTCTGGTCAAATGTAGTGCATTCAGTACATAGGGTAGGGCGCCATTTGGGACACACTGTAAGCACTAAGGATCTCTGTGTTTGGTAAGTCCTGCTGCACCACTTGTTCTCGGCCTCCTTGCTGACAGTCGTCTGGTCTGCCCATCCCTTTCCAGTTCCTGATGATCCTCCTGGCCGTCTTTGCAGCAGAGGTCGCTGCCCTAGTGTTTGCGTTCATTTACCGAGGCAGGGTGAGTGAACACCACATTTGGACACATTTTCACCACATGTATTTAATGTATTAAATGCTACGATCATATACTGTGTATTTAATGCTTGCAGGTACAATAATTAAGTACACAGATGCATTTTGTTTTGTATATCTTTACAGATTAAAGGTGACTTGGAGCGGTCAATGAGCGATGTGTTCCAGAAGTATGATGGTGAGAACGCTGATACCCGGGCTGTGGATTATCTGCAGTCTCAGGTCAGTGCCACTTTTCCTTTATTGACAAGTGTGAATTCCCCTGATAACCAGTATGATGCCAAGCAGGGGCTTACTAGGTTTGAAACCGAGAGACTCACTGTGCGATTACTTCCTGTGTATACACAGGCCTACCTTGTGGCCAACTGTACCACTCTCCCATTGACGGTCTTTGTCGTGGGCGTTAGAGGAAGTAATCACTTGTTGAGTTTCTCTGTTTCAAACTTATTTGGCGCTAACACGCACTGGCTCACACAGAGATGGGATGATACTGAACATTAGGCTTTTTGTCAGCTTGGAGCTGTGAACAAGTGTTCTTCTCTCTGTATACAGTTGCAGTGCTGTGGAGTGCAGACCTACATGAACTGGACCACCACCCCCTGGTTCAGCAGCAGTAACAACACTGTGCCCATCTCCTGTTGTAAAGGGAACAACACCGAGTGCACAGGCACCCTGGACCAGCCAGTCCTGCTCAATACTCAGGTATGGACCCAATTCAGTCAATGTCTAACTTCTAGTTTCTGTATTTGTATTTGACACAATGGTTTAAAGTGTAATGCCATTACTCTCTGACCAGTATATACTGTATGTGTGTGTGTGTCGCTCCAGGGTTGTGAGGGTAAGCTGGAACAGCTCCTTCAGGATGTGATGAGCTATGCCATGCTGGTCATCCTTGGCTTTGCCATCATCAAGGTACTGTACCTGACTGTCCTCTGACTTTATTATGGTCATTTCCATTATTAGACATTGCTCTGGTGTTTGGCCTAAAGATGAAGGCTTTTGTGTTTCCATCTCTGAGGCCGGGCCCCAAAAAAGCTACGAAAAAGTCCAAAAGTATTAGCCCGTGGACCTACCCTGACTTGGGTATAGTGGAACCTTTTGGTGCCAGACAATTTACTCTGAATTTCACTGAATATCTGTCCTTTTCTTTCAGTTTTTCGGGATGCTTAGTGTGTGTGTGATCACCTGTAAAAGTGTCAGGCGAACTGGCTACCAGGCCCTGTATGTCTGATACTACCTGATCCTGCAGTCTCCAAGGACGCTTTAGAGGCTTGTCTCCCAGCAGCTCCTGACCCTTGACCCCTGACACCTCTCCCCACTCCTCTCCAGCAGTGTGAGGTCATAAAGCCTAAGGACTTGTGTTCCCCACACCAATATTTTAGTATCCTTTCAGGAACATCGTCTTACCGTTTTTATACAGCTTTCCCGGGCAGTTGTCAGACCCACCAAACTTTGGGCAAACCACTGCCAACATTGGAAACAATGGTAAACCACGAAATGCCATTTTTTAAAAGATAGTTGCAAATTACCACTCAAACTTTTAAACAAAGGAAGTTGGCTTAAGCTTAACAGTGTTGTTATTTGCTGCTGTACATAATGAAAAAAAGAAAGGATATGCACAGTGATATATCAGTACATGGGATACATTCCTTTAAAGGGGAAATCTGGGGCGACCTGGGATTCAACAACAACAAAGAGGGCACCCCCGACACTTTTTTGATAAACAGCTGAGGGATGGGGCTGGGGAAATGTAACCACTCTTAAACCACTCTCAAATTCATAGACAGAGCTATGGGTGCATGCATGGACTGACCGTCAATGAGATCAAAATGATAGTTTTAACCTTGTTTTGAAGCTATACCGTGATTGTTTACAATTACTTTGTTTACAAACAATGGTGTAAAACATGCTTATATTTTGGGTTCTGATGGGGTAAGACAGTTGAACTAAGCTCATGAGGCAATTCTTCTAGAATCAATGTCTATATCGATGGCTATATATAATTAATTAAAAGTTAAAAAAAAAAAAACATCTGCCAATCCCAGATTGCCCCTTTAAGGATTGAAATGTTGTTTTGATACTGTCAAGTACTTTTTCAGATTCCAACACATCAGGTAGTAGGGATTTGTCTAGGATATACTGTATTACATTAGAAAAGGACTGGCAACATTCTTTTGGAAATTAATGCTTATTGTACTTGAAACAGATATTGATTTCAATGTTCATGAACACCACTGATTTCTGCATCATTGTAGAGTATTGTGCAATTGAATGTAATCATATCTGGTAGAATAGACGGTATACAGTTGGACTTGGTTGTGTATATTTAATTTCTAATGTATTAAAAGCTAACTACAAAGACATTTACATTTGATATGTTTACTGATTTTACATAAAACAAATTTCTACCTTTTAATTTAAAAAATAAAATCAATTTTCTAGCAATTACACTACCGTTGAAAAGTTTGGGGTCACTTAGAAATGTCCTTGTTTTCCATGAAAACATACATGAAATGAGTTTGATTAGAAAATATAGCAAAATTAATAGGAAATGTAGTCATTGACAAGGAATAGAAATAATGATTTTTTATTGAAATAATAATTGTGTCCTTCAAACTTTGCTTTCGTCAAAGAATCCTCCATTTGCAGCAATTACAGCCTTGCAGACCTTTGGCATTCTAGTTGTCAATTTGTTGAGGTAACCTGAAGAGATTTCACCCCATGCTTCCTGAAGCACCTCCCACAAGTTGGATTGGCTTGGGCACTTCTTACGTACCATACGGTCAAGCTGCTCCCACAACAGCTCAGTAGGGTTGAGATCCAGTGACTGTGCTGGCCACTCCATTTTAGACAGAATACCAGCTGACTGCTTCTTCCCTAAATAGTTATTGCATAGTTTGGAGCTGTTCTTTGGGTCATTGTCCTGTTGTAGGAGGAAATTGGCTCCAATCAAATGCCGTCCACAGTGTATGGCATGGCATTGCAAAATGGAGTGATAGCCTTCCTTCTACAAGATCACTTTTACCCTATACAAATCTCCCACTTTACCACCACCAAAGCACCCCCAGACCATCACATTGCCTCCACCATGCTTGACAGATGACATCAAGCACTCCTCCAGCATCTTTTCATTTGTTCTGCGTCTCACAAATGTTCTTCTTTGTGATCCGAACACCTCAAACTTCGATTTGTTTGTCCACAATACTTTTTTCCAATCTTCCTCTGTCCAGTGTCTGTGTTCTTTTGCCCATCTTTTCTTTTTATTGGCCAGTTTTTTATGGCTTTTTCTTTGCAACTCTGCCTAGAAGGTCAGCATCCCGGAGTGCCTCTTCACTATTGACTTTGAGACTGGTGTTTTGCGGGTACTATTTAATGAAGCTGCCAGTTGAGGACCTGTGAGGCGACTGTTTCTCAAACTAGACACTCATGTATTTGTCCTCTTGCTCAGTTGTGCACCGGGGCCTCCCACTCCTCTTTCTATTCTGGTTAGAGCCAGTTTGCGCTGTTCTGTGAAGGGAGTAGTACACAGCGTTGTACGAGATCTTCAGTTTCTTGGCAATTTCTCGCATGGAATAGCCTTCATTTCTCAGAACAAGAATAGACTGACGAGTTTCAGAAGAAAGGTATTTGTTTCTGGCCATTTTGAGCCTGTAATGGAACCCACAATTGCTGAAGCTCCAGATACTCAACTAGTCTCAAGAAGGCCAGTTTTATTGCTTCTTTAATCAGCACAACCGTTTTCAGCTGTGCTAACATAATTGCAAAAGGTTTTTCCAATGATCAATTAGCCTTTTAAAATGATAAACTTGGATTAGCAAACACAACATGCCATTGGAACACAGGACTGATGGTTGCTGATAATGGGCCTCTGTACACCTATGTAGATATTCCATTAAAAATCAGCCGTTTCCAGCTACAATAGCCATTTACAACATTAACAATGTCTACACTGTATTTTTGATCAATTTAATGTTATTTTAATGGACAAAAAAAATTGCTTTTCTTTCGAAAACAAGGACATTTCTAAGTGACCCCAAACCTTTGAACGGTAGTGTATATACACAAGTACTTCTTCATGACCTTTCCCAGAAAACTAGTGAGGCAAAATGCAAATTCTGAGAAGTTTGTAGGCGTTGAGCGTAGTGTTTATCTCTCTTGGTTAGTTGATAAAGACGTGTCTATATGCTCAAGATAGGATGTTTGACAAGAATCCCCTATGCACTTCTACATACAGTATAAACACAGACAGGGCACCAGGCATCGTTGTCTAACTATTTATTTTAATCTTTATTTAACCAGGAAAGTACCTTGAGGTTAGAGAAGTCTTGGCATGTACATTTGTAGTCTTAAAGGGAAAATTCGCCCTTTTTCAACATCAAATTAATAATCTCCAGCACCACCACAATTTCAGCATATGTGAAAACAGCAGGTTTCTGTTTTGTAGTCAACAAGATAGAGGAAGATAAATGTTTCCAATGACATCATAGGGAGACGCTGATGACATCATCTAGTGGGCTTCATGTGATTTTAAACAATTATGAGCAAGGTTAGTAAGTAACAAAACACTTTATTTAGAGCCATCCATAAATGTGTTTCTGATGAACAGTGCCTTTTAATTAGGAATGAAACCTCTTTCAACCCCAATATTAGAATATCATGCAACATAAGCCTTAGAAGAACTGATCCAAGTTCTGTTTGATAGAGTATTTATCAAACAGTCATGAATTCCATCTACAGTCATAGACGGACTGGCTTAAGGGCAGTTCTATTAAATCATCTTTAGCACAGTTGGCCTGTCTAAATGTGGGTACCCCAATTGATAATTACTGTATGTTTTTTTTTTATGTGCAAAATGATCATTATTTGTTATTGTTATGAAGAGTGATCAGATGAATTGCAATTAATTGCAAAATCCCTCTATGCCATGAAAATAAACTTAATCCCCCCACTGCATTTCAGCCCTGCCACAAAAGGACCAGCTGAGATCATGTCAGTGATTCTCTCGTTAACACAGGTGAGAGTGTTGACGAGGACAAGGCTGGAGATCACTCTGTCATGCTGATTGAGTTATAATAACAGACTGGAAGCTTTAAAAGGATGGTGGTGCTTGAAATCATTGTTCTTCTTCTGTTAACCATGGTTACCTGCAAGGAAACACGTGCCGTCATTGCTTTGCACATAAAGTGCTTCACAGGCAAGGATATTGCTGCTAGTAAGATTGCACCTAAATCAACCATTTATCGGATCATCAAGAACTTCAAGGAGAGAGGTTAAATTGTTATGAAGAAGGCGTAAGGGCGCCCAAGAAAGTCCAGCAAGCGCCTGGACCGTCTCCTAAAGTTCCAGGTTTGATTTCTCGTCCCACTCCATCCCTGTCTACAATAGCTACAGGAAAGAATATGGGCCATGCAGTTGTAGTAGCAGAATCAACCAGCAGAGTACACTAAGGTTTCAGTGATAAACTAGGGAGGTTACTATCTCCAGAAGAGATATTAAATTCAACACACATGCTCTCAGCTCCAGTTCCCATTGACATTTAAACACAGCTGTCCTCTTATTCCAGAGAGAACTGTTTTCTTCCTGCTTTAAAATGCAGACAGCAGGATAACATGTAATCTTTCTTTCTTTCTTTCTTTTGCTTGTAGCTCAGTTTGCGTCATCAACATGAGTGTTGTTAACCTACCTGATCCATGAGGCTTTAAAGAAGCTCAATCTGCAATTCAGATATGATGACTATTTAATAAGTCACATTAAGTCTTCAATACAAGTTACAGTGTATCCTGCTCTGAACCAGAATTACATTGTATCCTACATTGAATTAGCCAACAGGGCCTGTAGTCATAAAGCATCTCAAAGTAGGAGTGTTGATCTATTCCCCTGTCCATATAATATCATTCATTATGATCTAAAAGACAAAACTGATAATAGATCAGCACTCCTTATCTGAGACAGGTCCTGATCGCTATCTGTAATGCCGCTCACCTCAACTATTCCTCTCTATCCCCAGTCCTCTCTGATCACGCCTTTCCAAAACAGTTCACACAAAGACCTGAGTCAGGTGTTGCAGTGGGGAAATTTCAGACCTGCTCCTAATTTATTCATTTCCCACCACTTCTGCACAGAGTGTTCTGGCCAGTAACCTGACACACAGGATGTTGATGCTGGTGCTGTGGGAGAGCGGCCAAACATACTGCTTCTCAAAGGGGCCAAACATACTGCCTCTCA